GGAAACCCTTTACCTTTACCTTTGAAATGCTGCTGAAGACCGGGTCTGACGCAAAGTGCGCGACAGGAAACTGAGAGGGGTCTTGGTTTTTCAAAATGATCACGTGGAAAAGCACGAAGGGCTATTAAGTCATTTGAGTGCATTTTTCTATTCTGTTGCATTGAGTTAATTGAGCTGAGATAAGTTGCAGCCGTTTACTGCTCGCTGGCGAAGGTATTTATACTTCTAAGTTCTAGAGGCAGGCCCAGTGAGTACAACTTCAGGTCTTAAGTCATTATTTATGCACCTAATGGTTTCAGTGCTTCCAGAAATTTAATCTCTAGCAATCCCCCAAAGTTTTGCCCTGCATGACAGTTCTCTGAGGGTTTTTTACTTCTGTCCCATGCAGCAAGCCTCTGCCTAGAGGAGGCAGCGTTCCCTTGTTGGCACCATTTCACCTTTTCTCTGAGAACTCAGAGCAGTCCTGGTCCCAGGCAGAGATCAGATCCATTCCTATTTGGTTTCAGTAAGGTGCCTTTTGAATCATCTTCTAGGATCATAATGTCCTTTGGAAAACTTGGTGCTTCTTGGAGGGGAGAGGATTCTCAGAGGCTCAAGATGCCAAAAACTTTGAACATAAAAACTGACAATCGGAACACTTTCCCTCTACAAATCCCTTTACTGCAAGAAACCCAGGTGTAAATCCAGTGCCATGCAAGCATGAAGCACTTCTTGTACAAGTCTTTAGTGCCAAGGAAAGGATGTGAGTAGTTTCTATAGAGAGGCACACAGGTATCTTCATAATAATAATTTGTTTATCAACAGGGTCAGGTAAAGCATAACTACCGGGCAAGATACTGCAATACAGAAAGGTAATTGAATTGTGATTTTTAAAGGTTTTTCACAGGCTTTTGTTCTCTGTCCCAGAATGCCGCGGCTAGCTGTTCTTGTTTTTTATTTGCTGTTGAACTTATGAAATTGCATCTTTATACCTAGGTGCTTACCAGTAAACATTATGCAGTTCTTCTAGAAAAAGACCTTGACGTGGAGTATATAAAAAAGGCATTTATCAGAATCACAGGATAACCAGGTTCTCAGGGTGTTCCTTGAATGGGTCTTTAACTATATTGATAGTAATGGTACAAATCTGCAGCTAGATTCCAGGGGGTTGGCAGAATAAAGAAAGGGTGATTATGGGGACTGCATACAGGAGGCCGGCAATACCGGGAAGAATTAAATCAACTAATGAAGGAATTTCCCATACATGTACAGGAGCAAGTCTTGTTACCCCCACCCCCCTTCTGATTGAGAAACTTAGAAACTCAGTTTCCAGAAAACCCTGAATGTTCTATTGTTGTTGTTCACAGACACAGTCATAATATAAGCTTACGGTGCCTTTATCCTTCATCCATGAGTGGTGGTGGAGGAGGATGGTGCCTTCAAGTTGCAGCTGACTTATGGCACCCCCTATAGGATTTTTAATGCAAAAGGCAAGCCGGTGGTTTGGGAGCTGGGGTTTTAATTAATGGCACTATTAATGACTCCACAGTATGCCGTCTTATCCAAGAGTAAATGAGTTCACTGAAGAAAGCTACGCTTCTATAATTTTAACATAGTTATACTTTTTATAATGTTTATAATGCAGATTACCTATACTAGACAACATTCATCCTTGTGTGAAGTACATTTCATAAATATAGGCAAAGCCAGTAGATAATGGTATGAATACAATACAAAATCTTCATGCAAATATTATTGACACTGTTTTGGCTATGCTTCTGGAATGCTTACTCTTTAACGCATCCTAACAAAGCTGTGAAGTGGACAAAGCTGACTGAAAAGTCTTCATTTTTCAAGTTCCTAAACAATATTTATCACTTCTTTGTTTGAAAACATGTGGATCCAAGGAATGCAAGAGATAAAGAGAAAACGCTTTCCTAGGATTAAACAGCGGTTTCATATATCTTTTTCAACTCTATCTCTCTGTTGGTGTTTGTTACCAATCTCTTGATGGAGCACTGCAGGAACGACAATAATATGGATCAATGCAACATCTCTCTAATGTCTTCCCAAAGCTCTTTGCCTATATTTATGAAATGTAGTTCACACAAGAATGAATGTTGTCTAGTATAGGAAATTTGCATTATAAAAAGTGTGTGTGTTAAAGTTATAAAAGCGTGTTTTTCTTCGGTTAGCCCATTTTTTCCTATTGCATTCACACTGAAGTCTTTCTTGTTTTTGATATCGTATCCAAGAGTGTATTAGATCAATGCTTTTTTCATTCTTCTGTTACCTTTGCTTGAGGTAGATGGATGTTTCAGATTGTTTGAATTCGTGCATCACCAGCACGACTGAACAACAAATCACCAGCACTTTAGCTGCTTCCACTCCATTTTCCATCCAAGTCTGCACCAGTTCTTAATGCAGTTCTTGTTGTTGTTGTTCAGTCGCACAGTCGAGTCCGACTCTTCGCGACCCCATGGACCAGATTGCGCCAGGCCTTCCTGTCTTCCCCCGTCCTCTGAAGTTTGGTCAATTTCATGTTCGTTGCGTCTATGACACTGTCTAACCATCTCATCCTTTGCCATCCCCATCTTCTTTGACCTTCAATCTTTCCCAGCATCAGGGTCTTCTCCAGTGAGGGTTAGGAGTTCTCATTTGGTAGCCAAAGTATTTGAGCTTCAGTTTCATTATCTGGCCTTCCAGGGAACAGTCAGGGTAGATTTCTTTTAGGATTGACTGATTTGATCTTCTTGCAGTCCAAGGGACTCTCAAGAGTCTTCTCCAGCACCATAGTTCAAAAGAATCTATTCTTCGGCACTCGGCCTTCCTTATAGTCCAACTCTCGCAGCCATACGTGACTACTGGGAATACCATTGCTTTGACCATGTGGACTTTTGTTGGCAGGGTGATGTCTCTACTTTTTATCATGCTGTTTAGGTTCGCCATCGCTTTCCTCCCAAGGAGCAGGCATCTTTTAATTTCATGGCTGCTGTCCCAGGAACGTGAAGTCTGTCACTACTTCCTCGACTTCCCCTTCTATTTGCCAAGGAGTGATGGGGCCGGATGCCATGATCCCTAGTTTTTTTGATGTTGAGCTTCAAGCCCACTTTTGCGCTCTCCTCTTTTACCCTGAGCAAGAGGCTCTTTAGGTCCTCTTCACTTTCTGCCATTAGAGTGGTATCGTCTGCATATCTGAGGTTGTTGATCTTTTCCCCAGCAATCTTAATTCCCGCTGGTGATTCATCCAGGCCAGCGTTTTACATGATGTACTCTGCATGTCAATTAAATAAGCAAGGTGACAATATACATCCTGGTCATACTCCTTTTCCTATGCAGTTCTTAACTCTCTCAATGCTGCTGAGCGATGGAACTACTTAATAAGCAGCACCTTAAATTGACAATCTGCTGAGTGACACACCCTTGCATGGTCTTAGCTGCCCCCCAGAACAGGCTCTAGCCCCCGTCAAATGGTGCAGGGGACTTCTGCGAGCCATTGGAGACCCATCGCCCCAGGCCCCAGGGAAATGGGGAGTACCATTCCATGCAGTGGGCTTTAGATTGTGGCGGCTGCATCACAGCATCTTGAATTAGGAGATGCGCCTCACGGCCAGTTGTATTCTGTCACTTTTCTGTGCCTCTCCTGATGTTCTGTCTCTGAATGCCAGCCTGGAATTGCCATTCTGTCATTCCCTGACCTTCGATGGGTGTTATAGGTATAAGAATGCCCAACAGAAATCCTTTTGATGTTGGTATGTATTGTGGAATTAGGAGCAAAAGGCGGATGTAGGCTGTGTTTATGTTCTCATTTATTTATTAGCCTGTTTGGTGTAGTGGTTAGGAGTGTGGACTCTAATCTGGGAGAACCGGGTTTGATTCCTCACTCCACATGCAGCTGCTGGTGTGACCTTGGGTCAGTTACAAGTTCTTTCAGAGCTGTTCTCACCAGCAGTTCTCGAAAGAGCTCTCCCAGCCCCACCTACCTCACAGGGTGCCTGTTGTGGGGAGGGGAAGGGAAAGGAGATTGTAAGCCACTCTGAGACTCCTTAAAAATCCCATATCTTCTTTTTCTTCCCTTGCAGAACTCAAGGCAGCGTATAATATAAATAAAACATTATAAGAACACAATAAAAACAACGGTTATAAAACCCACAAAAGTTACAGTTTAAAAAACTCAGCTTAGGACTGCCAATAGTAAAAGTTAGATTAATCAAAATAAAACTCTCTTCAGCTGCCTTCTGAAGATAGACCGAGGGGACAGGCACACCTCGCTGGGGAGGTTGTTCCATGATTTGTGGGGCTGCCACCAAAGCAGCCTCCTCTTGTGTACCCCCACCAGACAAGTGTCTTTAATGGGTGGGACAGTCAGGAGAGCCTCTCCTTCCGCTCTGAATTCCCAGGCAGGGATGGGCGAGAGAAGGGGGTCCGTTCAGACATCCCCGGCCCGGCCCGTGGAGGGCTTGCCGCCTACAGAGTAGATAACAGATCAGGTGATATGTTTGGTTGCATGAATGGATGTCTGCTGACATGACATCCAGCTCAAAATACACTGTTAAGAGCCCCACACACCTGAGAGGAGATCATTAAGATTCTGTTACTTCCCACAATTAGAAAAAACAGCTTTAGACATTTATTTGCTACTTTGACATATATATTGCTTTACACCTGTTGACCTTATAAGCTTCACTTGTTATTTAGTTTTTCACTTTGCATAACTGAAACATGTTACATGTTAATTTGCTGCTAAATCCATGTCTATAAGTTTAGAACCTCATCTACCATTCCCGTGTATTTGAACAAGTGTGCCTTGCAGATGAAAGTTCATACCTTGAATAAACCTTTGTTGGTCTTAAAGGTGCCACTAGACTCTAAGTTTGGTTGCATTGTTCATTAAGGAAGTATTACCTGATCTATTTTCCATATTGCCTGTGCTCCAACCAGTAATTACAAGTTGGAAGCATTTTCTAAGTGGCCCACTTTATGCATTTTTTCCTTCAAAGGCAGGCAGTTGGCATTCGACCAGGAGACAATGTACTGAAATATATTCAAGACTGCTTTGAAAGTAAGTTCTTTGTTTTATTTGTAGTTTATGATGTGTATAATACTGGAATTCCTTTGGTAGAGCAGAGGGACTTTTGATTGAACAGTAGTTATACCTGGTCTATCTGAAAGATGATGTAAATTACACTTTCCCTCTTAACACATGTTAGCTTTTCCCCCCCAGTTGCTGCCAGAGAGCATCCAGTATTAAGGCCGTCGCCTAGCACCTCGAGTTGTTCATCCCCTGGAAATCACTTTCCACCTCCGAATGAGCAGGTGAGCTCTTTCTGTTAGTAATCAGCGGGGTTAGTCCTCCTCCTGCATACATTCGGGGTAATCTCACTCAGGGAACATGTTAAGCGGCCCCTCCCTTCTTCATCGTGGAATGGAAGCTGTAGCATTGTTACCAAGGATGCAAGGAGGACCAGCCACACAGCCTCCTTATGGGTGGGCAACACCCACATGAGAGGCAGGGGAGCCAAGTGTCCCCAGACCCCAGGAGTGAGAGACCCAGATGCTTCTTAGGACTAGATGACTTTCCACCCTAATTTTTGGCTTGGTTCTTTATCATTTTGTAATGTGCTTGGTAAAGTATAGCTTTTTAAGATTGATGACATAAAGGATGTAAAAATTGGAGGCGGGGGGAAGGTACTGGCAAGGGATTGGCTCCTTGTACGATCTGACTTTGTTGATCTGGAATTAAGGTTTCAAATCTGCTCAGTTGCCTGTGAGGCACTGCACAGAAATAAAGGAATGGATATGAACTCCCAGCTCATGGGAAATACTCAAACGGTACTACTGCCCTGTGATGCTGCAGTTTATTGAAGAATCGTCATCCCAGCTTTGTTCTACTCACTTGCCATGATGGCCTTTTACACTCGGAGCTCTGGATATCTGCACCTTGTGCAGGTCACTGTAGAGTGATCCTGGGAACAGAACCCATGATGACTATTACAGTTGAAGGGGAGGGGGGGGAGAGACAACCACCACCAGATGACCTGGGGAGTAGTGTTGCCCTGCAGCACCAAAGCTATTTCAAATGAAGGAGTCCCTTCACTGGCAAAGTTCACTGTGTGTGTACCATAACGTGCAGCTGCAGCTTTGCTATACATTTTGGTTTCCTGACTTGGGACGATTTGTACTTCCCATGTATTTCAGTATGAAGTCCCATCTTGAGACATGTTGGTGGTGAAGTAAGGAAAGGTAACCCCCCTTCTCCAGAACTGATGTTGTGTAATGCCAGGTCCATCAACAACAAGACCACTACTCTGCAGAATTATTTTGCAGAGCAGCAAGTGGAACTGGCACGAGTGACCGAGATCTGGGCAAGGGAGGGTGAGACGGTGTCCTCCAAGGTTTCTCAGTCTTCCGCCAGTCCAACGAAGGGGGGGGGGGGGGGGGGTGGCAATACTCATCCGAGAGCCACGTTCCTTCAGGGCACTCTCTGCTCCAAGGAGCTGCAGTATTGATTGTGTTGGCCTGATACTGAGGAGAGTTTGGCTGTCTGGCTGATTGACTGGCCACCGAGCACACCAGCAGACAGTCTGCCAAGCCTGCTGGAGGCATCGGACGGCTGGGCCTTGGAGTTCCTGAGGCTACTACATAATTCTTGGGGCCTTCAGCGTCCATGCCAATGAGGCAGCCTCCAAGACAGGCGTTGGACCTGGTGACTTCCATGACAGAAGCACTGGGGCTCTCCCAGATTGGATCAGTCCCTGCACATTAAGCAGGCCACACACACGATTTGATCATGAGAGGGAGGGCAGGAAGGGTTGCAGCCTCAGTGCTTAGTTCTCGTGGCCCTTTCTTACACGCCCAGGGAAATGCTGATCGCCTCATTGGAGTCAGGAAGTAATCTTTCTCCAGGCCAGTTTGGCCGGGGATCCTGGAGGTTTTTTGTCAAGTTCTGGGTATGGAATAGCAGTCACTGGGGGTGCGGAGGGGGAGGTATTTGTGAATTTCCTGCATTGTTCAGGGGGTTGGACTAGATGACCCCAGAGATCCCTTCCAGCTCTATGATTCTATGATCTTTGGTGTTGGGATTGGTGTGAATCTGACTGCTGTTGATAGGGTGCCATGGTCAGATCATTATGCCTTGAAGACCCAACTGAGTGTTCCACCCCTGCCCCATCTGGGCAACGAGCAGATTTATGCTCAGCTGCGGAGACTAATGGATCCAGAATGCTCTTTGGGATCCAGTGCCTTCTGGTGACTCGTTAGATGAGCTGAGAGAGGACTGGAATACCCGTCTCTCTGAAGCCATCAATGTGACTGCTCCCCAATGCCCTCTTCTCTCCCGCCCCAAACTAGCCCCATGGTATACCATGGAGCTTAGGGGGAACAAAGCAGAAACTTAGATGGATAGAGCGCATTTAGTGGCGGTCTGGTGGCAAAGCTGCAAGAACATCCTAGAGGTCGCTTATGAAAACCTATGAGATGGTGGTTTTAGAGACTGCTAAAAGGGAATTTTTTACAGCCTCCACCGCATCCGCTAGCTCTTGCCGAGCACAGTTGTTTAGGACAATCTGGTCTTTAACTTCTCTCATGGAGAAAACTCAAAATATCAGTAAATTGACTATTAACTGTGAGACTTTTGCAAGGGCTTTGTTTGTTTGCTTGTTTTTGTGTGCGTGCCCATGTGCTTTCATGCCTGGAAGTCATGGCGACTTCTGGCTACCCCTACTGGGGGCTTGGGCATTTTTTTAGAGAGGTATCTTGATAACTTGCCTCTGTCCCAAGCCCTGGTTTTCCTTGGAGGTCTCCCTTCCAGTTGCTTGCCACGGTTGACCCTGCTTAGCTTCCGAGATCTGATGAGATTGGGCTTCCCTGGGCTATCGAGGTCAGGTCAGGCTTCTGTGAGCTTTTTTGCGGATAAAGTCTTGTCACTTCGCCACAATCTGCCTGCCAGCATTGATACAGTACACAAATTGGAGGCCTCTTGGCCACTTTTGGATTCTGTATCTGACAACTTCAGCAGACTCTTCCAGGCCGACATTGACAAGATCCTGAGTGCTGTTAAGCCAACCACTTGCCTCTTGGATCTGTGCCCATCATGGCTGGTGAAAGCCAGTGGTGATGGAGTTTGGGGGCCCCTAGTGGACATTATCAATCTGTCCATTAGTTCAGGGGTCTATCCGGGGTGATCAAAAGAGGCTGTGGTAATACTGCTCTTAAAGCAACCATCTTTGGATCCTTCAGAGCCAAATCTTTTGTTTCTGGGCAAGGTAACGGAGAGAACGGCGGCAGAGCAACCACAGAGTTTCCTGGAGGACACTGAGGTCTTGGACCCATTCCAGTCTGGCTTCCGTCCTGGCCATGGGACGGAGATGGTTCTAGTTGCCCCCACGGACGATCTTTGCAGACAGCTGGATCGAGGCGGGTTGGTGCTGCTGCTGTTGTTAGATTTGACAGCAGTGTTCGACACGGTCAGCTACGATGGGTTGAGCCACCACCTCGCCGAAGTAGGAGCTTGTGGCATGGCCTTGAAGTGGCTTACCTCATTTCTCCATAGTTGGGGACAGAGGGTGGAGCTAGGAGAGAAGGTATCGCCCTGACACCCCCTAGTATGTGGGGTCCCTCAAGGGGCAGTCCACTCCCCAGTGTTATTCAGCATCTATATGTACCCCCTTGCCCAACTGGCAGAGTTTCGGGCTAGGCTGTCATTAATATACTGATGACCCCTAGCTGTATCTGTTGATGGACAGCTGGCCAGATATTGCCCCATGTATTCTGGCCGAAGGGCTGGAAACCATAGTTGGGTGGCTGAAGCAGAGCCGACTGAAATTGAATCCTTCAAAGACGGAGGTTCTGAGGCTGGGCAGAGGGGCCATGGGATTGGGGTGCTGGCTCCTGCCTCTTGATGGTGTACCCTTCACAACAGTGCCAATTGCCAAGAGACTGGGTGTGTTCCGGGATGCCTCCCTATCTATGGAGGCCCAGGTCACAAACATTGCCAGACTGGCATTTCTCCACCTGCGTCAGGTCAGGCAACTGACCCGTTTCCTTTCTTACCCTGACTTAGCCAGAGTAATCCACGCAACGGTCACCTCCAGGCTAGACTACTGTAATGTGCTCTATGCAGGACTGCCCCTGAGACTGACCCAGAAATTACAGCTTGTCCAGAATGCAACAGCACGGGTCCTTACAGGGACCCCATCACCAGTACATATCCAACCAGTGCTTCGCCGACTGCACTGGCTCCAAGTTGAGTACCGGATCAGGTTCAAGTTTTCAAGGCCCTAACCGGTCTGGGAGCAGCGTGTCTACGGGCCGCCTCTCCCGGTATGATCCCCGAAGAGCATCGCGCTCTGGGGATAAGAACCTCCCGCGAGATCCCTGGCCCAGAGGGTGCCCGGCTGTCCTTGGCCGGAGCCCCGGGACTTCTTCAGCCCTGGCACCGGCCGGGTGGAGCTCTCTGCCCAAGGACATCCGTGCCCCGTGGGACCCGGTACAGTTCCGCAGGGCCTGCAAGGCAGAGATGTCCCACCTAGGCCTATGGTTGAAAACAGCAACGCTTTGCCACCAAGGCTGCCTTCCCCGTCTCCCCCACTCTGGGAAAGGCTATGTAACGCTGAAATGCCATCTGATTAGTTTTAATTATTGCTGTTTTTATTGTTTAAATTTAAAGTTATTGGAATGTATTTATTGGAATGTATTTATAAATTATAAATTGTTGTCAACCTCCCTGATGAGCCCCTTGTGGGGAAAGGGCGGTCTATAAATCAATTGAAATAAATAAAATAAATATATATTCATTTTCCCAGGACAAAAAGGATCACTCCGTGGAAAACCCGAGTCTTAATGGGCCAGCCCTTAGTGTGGCCTCAGCCCACATTTGGGGTGGGTGCCTAAATTTCCAAAGCAACATTTAGTTTGTTCTACCGAGTGCATCTTTACTGTTATGTTGTTAACAATACCTCTTTCCATCTTTGTTTCTTTCTCTGATTGTCAGGAAAAATCTCTAAGTTCAGTTTTGGTTAACTCTGTCAGGAGCACCTTTTCTGCCACCTGTTCAAAAGCACAACCCAGAGAAGCCTGCAGTTCAGGTGGGCATCACGGAATTGCTCTTCAGTTTGACACAGATCTTACAATGTTGATGTTTTAGATACTTTTAGATAGTTTCACTTCTTCCTCCAGTTGTGTAAACAAAAGGGGGGATTTGTATATGAATCAAAACAGCAATTGTTTGATTCCTCCGCCCCTGAAGAAATGCCTTGCTGCTGGCATAGCAGTGGATTTATCTCTACACCTTGTAAGGAAAAGAATTGGTGCGGTGCAGGGATCGTTACCATTTCTACACCTGAAACCCACCTTTAACTCCTAGGTGACACATGGGATGCACTGAATTGCTTGCATGTGACAGGAAATCGCATGATGGCAAGAGGTGGTGTTAGAGCCATGGCTTCACCAAAGCTAATACTACAGTCAGGGAGAGGAAGCTCAAGGCAAGCACGAACAAGCTAGATCTCCTAGCTGTGGAGGAGTTCTCTCCATCACTGAGCCCAAGAAGGCAGGGGAGAGATCACGTGAACTAGGGGGCCTACTCGGGTTACGTGATGTATCCATAGGGCTCAATTAACACTCATCGCCCAGTGTTTGCTGCATGTGATCCCGAGGCTTGCTTGCTTGCCCGGTTGAGTGTTGGGCGATGTGATGTGTGCAGATCCCCCCCCCCCCCCGGGCTTTTGGGGGCTTGTTTCCTCAAGGGTCACCAAATCCTGGTCTCTTGGTCTGGGAAGGTGAGCTTCTCTACGAATGTGCCTGTCAGTGGAGGTGTCCCCTCAGGATGGCTCAAATAGGGGTGTAAATTTCCCAGGGCTTTTGAAGTGATGGAAAATGACATTCTTCCCATTTCTGCTACTGGAGTGGCGGGAGTTTTTAGAGAAATGTCATTCATTTATGAGCCGCCTTTCTTCCTTATGGAGCTTAATTCTTTCTCAAAGTTTAGGTTTAATATCATTTTAACCTTGATCAGCATATAAAATCGTACTGATTTTAAATGTAGGAGTGGCTTTGTTTCCTACTCAAAATGTAATAAGTATGCTCAGTATTAGCGAGAGCAGCAAATTGCTGCAGTTTATGCCACTTTAGGTGTAATCTGAGTTTTTGCCATCTGAGAGTTTGGGAAAATAAAAGCTGAAAATAGAAAATGCAGATTTTGCTGTAAGCAAAGTTGAGCTTGGGCAGGACCCTGCAGTCCCCATACGACTGGCAGCCCATTTGGGTATCGAGTTAAGCACTGAAAACGCTGAACTTGTCAGTGGTGTATTATACGCATTGCGGCATATTTCTGGGCAGAGTTAGTCACATTTAAACAATACACCTATTTTCAGGGATATGCTTAATGTCTACAGTGTTCACGGGAATGATAATTTTCTAATGCTGTAGATGATTTTACATTTTATCGTGAAGCTTTAGCTGGTTTATGGATTTTGTTTTTCCTAACAACAAAACAGGTGACGATGTATTCCTCCCAAATTCTCCCGATGAGGATGAGATGTCCTTAGGGTCACCTGCTCTTCTCGTTGAGGAAGCACCGAGAGACCCAGAAGTGGCTCCCACAGGTCAAAATGGTAGCCGGCTCCTGTAGGTATCATTTCAGAGCCATTCCAGGTCTGTGTGGTCAGTTGTACCTTCTGTGTGACTGCTGAGCAGTGCTTGCTCTTTCTAAACAGTTAAGGATCCCAGACGGCTTTCTGTAGTGTATGATCAGGTCATCAGACTGGGAGGTGCTGAAGGGATGTCGTAGGCTGTGTTTTCGTACAGTGTATTTACAATTGGAAGCCTAGTAATTCGCCTACTGTTTAGAGGAGCAAAGCAGGAGCTGTGTGAGTTTCTCTTGGATTTGACTCAGTGCTAAACCCAACATTTTCCGGCATAAACACACACACACACACCATGCATCATCTATAGTCCTGAGGAGAATCAGAAGTCATCTGTCTTCTCTTTTTTCTGGGCTAATCTGTATTCCCCAGAGGATGCAATTTTGACCTCTGACGCTCTTAACACTTTTTCTTTAGTTATGGAATCTCATTGAGGAAAGTTTGCAAACTCCTCAGCTTTATGGTGAATTGAATTATAGTTCTCCAAACTATCACTGGGAGAGGAAGCAGTGAGCAGCTGATTCAAGTCTGCCGGCTGTGGACTTCACCTAGTTGCTCTTGAGTCCACAACTTCACAGGGATGTTAACCCATTAAAATGTTTTTAACTTGGCTGAGTACCTGAGTTTTTAAGAGGCTTGAATAATCTCTTATGCATATTATCAGTGGGGGGTTATTATTGAAGTAAGGAAGGGAAGTTGCAGATCTTCTTCGTGGTCCCTGTGCATCACACCTCTGGGATATAGGGTTTCTCTTGAAAGTGAAAGGGATTTTCGTGCACGCTCCCCAGTCACTCACCGGCCCCACTGTGCATGACCAAGTGAGGGGCATGATAATCCCGCCAGTTCTTTTCTGACTGCCGCGCTGGTAGGATCTTCTCCGCTTCGGTTGGTAAAAAATGGGCTTTTAGGTGTAGTGGTTAAGTGCGCGGACTCTAAACTGGGAGAACCGGGTTTGATTCCCCACTCCTCCACTTGCACCTGCTGATGTGACCTTGGGTCAGTCACAAGTTCTGGCACAGCTTTCCTTGAAAAAGAGCAGTTTGTGTCAGTTCTCTCAGCCCCACCCACCTCACAGGGTGTCTGTTGTGGGGAGGGGAAGGGAAAGGAGTTTGTAAGCCGCTCTGAGACTCCAAGTGAAGGGCGGGGTATAAATCCAATCTCTTCTCTTCTCTTCTGCTTCTATTCCTCGTTTTCTTTGAAGTTTCTTCATTTTTCTTGTTTATTTTTGTTAAGTGAAAGGACTTTGTTTCTACGGATTTATTTCCTTTTGGACTCTGTCGTGTGTTCCCCCCCCTCTCCCGGCCTATGGCCAAGAGGTGGGGTTTCTTTAAACGGTGCCTTAAGTGCGGCAGCAAGATCGCCCACCCCCCCAAGATGGACACTCGCTTTGTCTTTTGTAAGTAAAGTAAAGTAAAAGTAAAGTCTTTTGTGCCTTGGGGAATCGCACCGAGTGAACTCTTTGCTCATTGCGCGAAGTTTTCGAAGCAGACAAGGAAGAACAGAGCTGCTAGACTTCGCGTTGCGCTTTTGGAGTTAGCGCTTTCACCGATATCGTCACAGGACACTTCAGGGCATGCGTCAATGTTGACTGCTGCCTCGGCATCGACAGCTGCGCTGTCTCCGATACCGACTCACATAGATGTCGACCGCCTGATGCTGAAACGCTCAGCCCAGACATCTCAGACCTTAGCCAATACTCCCTCCAAAAATGCAGGGAAGGCAAGACGGTCGGCCAGTCAAGCTTAAAAAACATAAGAAAACCCCCCGTGCAATCTCCGCTGACCCCTCGGAGGACCACAGAATTGAATCTTTCAGGGGCTGCTTCACTTGACTCTCAGTGCCGACAGCAGCCACAAGGTGTACCTCGGTCGCCTTCACTGCGTCCTATCCAGCTCACGGGCTCTGAGCACAATATGGACTTAACACAGATCTCCCGGTCTTCCAGTGCCGAAAGTCTGCACTCAGACCGCAGAGCCGATGTGTCTGTCCATCCTTCAGAACTCTGACCTGATGATCAAGACCAACTATTGGCACCGATCCACCCGCCGCCCTCCTGGGACCAACGGCAGTGGAAATACATGTATGGGGCCTACCCATTTACAGGCAATATGCTGTGGTTCCCACCCCAACCGATGGAATGGGACCGTCAGTCTGCCTCTTCACGTCTCTCCCGGTATCGAGATCCTTCGTCGACACCGGAGTTTGTGAGGCCCCAACGGTTGAGGCCAACGGGCAAACCCTCCAAGCCATCGCACCCAATAATTCCAAAGTTTAAAAATCCATAGGATCCGATTCCATCGATACTGATGCCACCTATGTCTTTTTCCGAACTGTCTGAGCACTCCGCCTCTTCAGACGCTTCCTCCCAATCAGGGGACAAAACCCCCGATCCTCCGGTGGAACCCTCATCACCTCAACAAGTGGGCTGATCTTCCCTTCCGAAGACTTAAAATCCTACGGGGATTTCTTCAAGCGGATGGCTAACATGCTCACTCTGTCTACGGTACAGCCCCCACCTACTGTGACAGACTCCGTGTTTGATATTGTCCAGTTGGACACCTCTACCCCGATTGCTTTACTGATGACTTCAGTCCTCCTTCAGGCGGCTAAAGTCCCATGGTCTCACCCGGCATCTACCCCCGTCTCGTGCTGGAGGGTAGATCATATGTATAAGGTGCAGGAGCAGGGTGCTGAATTTCTGTTTACCCACCCTAAACCTAATTCTGTCGTCGTCACTTTTCCTCCAAGGGCAGATGCAGTCATTCCACCCCCTCTGAGAAAGAAGGAAGGAAACTTGATTTGTTTGGAAGAAAATTTTATTCTGCAGAAGCACTAGGCATCAAGACCTCAAACTATATGGCATGTATGGGGAGATATCAGTTTGCTCTTTGGGAGCAGATGTCTGAATTTATTGCAACCCTCCCTGAGGACCGTCAGGCTCGCAGGATTCAAAAGGAGGGAATGCTTTTGGCTAAGCATCAGCTCAATGCAGCTAAGCACACATTGGATGCGGCTGCCAAAACGCTGACTTCAGCTGTTACCCCCCGATCTCATGCCTGGTTGCGTTCTACTGCACTACCATAGGACACCAGAACTCTCATTGAGGACCTTCCATTAGAAGGTGAAGGCCTTTTCAATGCCACAACTGATACGGTCCTGCAAGACCTAGACAAAAGTATAAAGATGTCGTGAAATTTAGGAGTCATGTCGGCTCCTAAACTATCCAAAACTGGATCCCGGAACAAGCCATGGTCTCGCAGATCCTCTCTTAAGTCGTCCCCGGAAACACAGGGGCAACGCTCACCCACTGTGTCTTCCCGCCCTTATGGGCACAAACCGAAATTTTCTTCCGTCTCTCAGCCTTCCAAGCAGAGCCTTTGACTCCTGTCGTCTCACCCCTACCCGCCTGTCTCCCTACCTGGCTGCTTGGCAGCGAATAACATCAGACCGGTGGGACTTCCGGTTGATGGCGACGTGCTAGCAGACTCACCTCCCGGGGGTGAAGCTGTGCTCCAGCCGAAGAAGGGGGTGTGCAGGCTTGTCACCCCCCCAGGGACCCGGTGAAGGGACCCTGGCCATGGAACTCTCAAGAGGTTGCCTCTTCGATGGCTGAATGCTGGAGAATTGAGGCGCCTCTTCGTTCCAACGGTTCTCCGTGCTGATAGACCGAATGGACTTAAGTGATGCCGACCACAGCAAGCGCAGGAGATCGAGCGTCAGAAATGAAGCCGAAAGCGAGGTCGGAAGACCAATTATGAATGTGAGTCAATTTTAAAGCGTTTTGAAAGGGAAAAGATAGCTCCCCACCCTACTGAACGGGAAAAAGGCAAGTGGGGGAGGGACGCCTCCCATGCACATGAAGTTTTGAGCGATTGAGGGGGGGGGGCGGAAGAAAACGTGAAGAAAACTGTCTAGAAGTACTTACCAAAGTTAGTCTAAGCATTTAAGCACACATTCAGAGACTTTTAAAAAGTTTGCAAAAGTAAACAAACGAAAAAGATGGGGAAGAAGGACAAAGAAAAACTTTTGAAATCGAAAGGGACTGAGAGCCCGAAACCGGAAGTAACCAGTGAGTTGGCAAAGACTATAGCAAAATCCATGCGCCCCCTGCTGGAACAGCTGAATAACTTCAAGGAACAGATGTCAACAGTGACTCAATGTGGAGGATCCCCTAGCACAGCTCAAAAACAGGATAGACATTGTTCTGTTGAACTGTCGGAAGCCAGCTACACGCGCTTCCTATGAAGGGAAGTGGAAGAAATTCCTGTCTTACCTCAAGTCATTGGGTTTACCACCTCCCCCTACAGACTTGAGGATAAAAACATAAGAACATAAGAGACACCAATGTTGGATCAGGCCAAAGGCCCATCCAGCCCAACACTCTGTATCACACAGTGGCCAGAAATACCAGTCCCATCAGGAGGGTCCACCAGTGGGGCCAGGACATTAGAAGCCCTCCCACTGTTGACCCCCCCCCCCAAGTTTTCGGCTTTTTGTTGACCTGCCTGGACTTGGGTCTTAGTTGCTCCTCTTTAAGAGTCTATTTAGCTGCCATTTCTGCCAGTCATCCTGCGGTGGATGGCTATTCAGTTTTTTCTCACCCGCAAACGAAGCAATTTTTGAAGGGCCTCACTCACCTCTTTCCTCCGGCTCATGGGCCGACTCCCTCCTGGGACTTATCACTAGTAGCGGTGGCGCAGGCAGTAGGGAGCGGTGGCGCAGGCAGTTAAACGCCTGCTCAGTAACATCATTCGAGCAGCCACTATGGCTGTTCGAGTACCACCGCGGTCGGGGTGAGCTCTCGACCTTCGTCCCAGCTCCCGCCAACCCAGCGGTTCGAAAGCAACCTAATTGCAAGTAGATAAATGGGTACCCACCCTTAGAGGGGTGGGGGGCACCCTGCGTCGTTGGTTGAAGACGGCGGAGACGATGGCGGCGGCGAGGGATCGATTCCGGTGTGGACGGCGTGGCGGCAATGTGGCGGCAAGTGGGCGCGATCGGAGGAGCGCAATTGAGCGATCCCTGGTGGCCGAGAGAGAATACATCGAGTGCTGTCGTAAAAAGAGAAGGGGCGTGCGAGGACGCTGAGCACCGGCCCAGCGGAGCCGGAAGGGATGTTGCTGAGGCCGGAAGCAGGCGGAGCCGCACGCCTCAGGAAAAAAGGAACAGCTACCACCGAACGCCGAGAAGAACACCCCGCCAGAAACCGCCAATACTGAAGGAAGAC